CAGCTGCATTTCACTTTTTCCCTTTTGGGCCGGGATAAGCTTGTCTGCCGCTTCCTTGCACTTCTGCGTGATGTAGTCCATCATGTCTTAGCCGTCTTTCCCTGAGCTCTGTTACCCATGTTTTATCTGTTAAGAATTTATTTATCTCCTCATATTTTCCCTTACGGAATGCCAGCCTTTTGTTTTTCTGTCCCTGCCTCGAGTACTTTAACTCATCTTCAACCAGATACTCAAAGGTCAGTACACTGTGATTGTTCATTCCTACTGGGGCCTCGAAACCGATGTGTAATCACTTAGTTGTGCTTGCAAGGGGTTGAGCTCTGGCTCTTTGGTTCTGCCTCTCAATCAACTTGTGTACAGGTTCCTGAGCCTACTGGGCTCTATCATATCTACATTTGAAACTGTGTATGGAGTCAGCCTCCACCACATCACTGCCTAATGCATTCCATCTGTTAACTACTCTGACACTGAAAGAGTTCTTTCTAACGTCTCTGTGGCTCATTTGGTACTCAGTCTCCACCTGTGTCCCCTTGTTCGCGTACCACCCGTGTTAAACAGTTTATCCTTATCTACCCTATCAATTCCACAGAGAATTTTGTAGGTAGTTATCATGTCTCCCCTTAATCTTCTGTCTTCCAGCGACGTGAGATTCAACTCCCGAAGTCTCTCCTCGTAGCTCATACCTCTTAGCTCGGGTACTAGTCTGGTGGCAAACCTTTGAACTTTATTCAGTTTAGTCTTATGCATGACTTGATATGGACTCCATGCTGGCGTTGCATACTCCAGGATTGGTCTGACATATGTGGTATACAAAGTTCTGAATGATTCTTTGCACAAGTTTCTAAAGGCCGTTCTTATGTTGCCCAACCTGGCGTAAACCGCTAATGTTATCCTCTTGATGTGAGCTTCAGGAGACAGGTCTGGCATGATATCAACCCCCAGGTCTTTCTCTCTCTCTCTGACTCTTGAAGAATTTCATCTCCCAGTTGATACCTTGTATCTGGCTTCCTGCTCCCTACACCTGTCTTCATTACATTACATTTGCTTGGGTTAAACTTTAACAACCATTTGTTCGATCATTCCTTCAGCTTGTTCAGGTCTTCTTGAAGCCTCAAGCAGTCCTCCTCTGTCTTAATCCTTCTCATAATTTTGGCGTCGTCAGCAAACATTGAGAGGAATGAGTCTATAACCTCTGGAAGATCATTTAAGTACATCAGAAACAGGATAGGTCCGAGTACAGAGCCCTGTGGGACAATCTGTGGTTCACCCCTCACTGTAACTCTCTGCTTCCTATTTCTCAAGTACTCCCTTATCCACTGGAGCACCTTACCAGCTACACCTGCCTGTCTCTCCAGCTTATGTTCCAGCCTCTTATGGGGTACTGTGTCAAAGGCTTTCCGACAGTCCAAGAAAATGCAGTCCACCCAGCCTTCTCTTTCTTGCTTAATCTTTGTCACCTGGTCGTAGAATTCTATTAAGCCAGTCAGGCAAGATTTACCCTCCCTGAATCCATGTTGGCGATTTGTCACGAAGTCCCTTCTCTCCAGATGTGTTACCAGGTTTTTCCTCACGATCTTCTCCATCACCTTGCATGGTATACAAGTTAAGGACACTGGCCTGTAGTTCAGTGCCTCTTGTCTGTCGCCCTTTTTGTATATTGGGACCACATTAGCCGTCTTCCATGTTTCTGGTAGGTCTCCCGTCTCCAGTGACCTACTATACACTATAGAGAAAGGCAAGCAAAGTGTCTCTGCACACTCTTTCAGTACCCATGGTGAGATCCCATCTGGACCAAAAGCCATTCTCACATCCATATCCAACAGGTGTCTCTTGACCTCATCTCTCGTAATTTCGAACCCTTTTAAGGCCGCCTGGTTTTACGGCCCCTCTCCTAGCACAGTGACCTGACCTTGTTCTATTGTGAATACCTCCTGGAATCTCTTGTTGAATTCTTCACACACCTCTTTGTCATTCTCTGTATATGTCTGGTAAGTTTCATTACCTGTTATTTCACTGTTGTTTTCCTCTTGAGGTGACTGTGCAGTAACTTAGGTTCGGTCTTGGCTTTGCTTACTGTATCATTTTCATAATTTTCCTCAGCCGCTCTTCTCACACTAACATACTCATTCCTGGTTCTCTGGTATCTCTCTCTGCTATCTGGTGTTCTGTTATTTTGGAAGTTTCTCCACGCACTTTTGTTCAGCTCCTCAGCTTCCATACATGCCCTATTAAACAATGGATTCTTCTTTTGCTTCTCCGATATATCCTTTTGAGCCGGGATGAACCTGTTTATTGCCTCCTGACATTTTTGGGTGACATAGTTCATCATGTCTTGTACATACTTAACTCTGAGGTCTGTGTCGCATGGTATATCCCTTAGGAAAGGGATATACTCCAGGATTGGTCCACAGTAGAAAAGGCTACTGTGGTTTCATCTCATAATTTCCCTTTCGGTATGTCAGCCTTTTGTTTCCTAGTTCTTTTCAGGGGATAATAATTCCCAGCTCTACCAGGTACTCAAAGATCAATACACTGTGATCACTCATTCCCAAGGGGGCTTCCAACTTAACTTCTCTTATATCCGACTCATTTAGGGTAAATATCAGATCAAAGATGTCTGGTTCTTCTTCCTCTCTCATTCTTGTCGGTCACTTGATGTGATGATTTAGAAAGTTTCTTGTTGCCACATCCAGCAGCTTAGCTCTCCATGTTTCTGGTCCTCCATGTGGGTCTCTGTTCTCCCAATCTATCTTCCTATGGTTGAAGTCTCCCATAATTAGTAGTCCAGATCCATTCCTGCTAGCCAAAGAAGCAGCTCTCTCTATTATGTTAATGGTGGCCATGTTTCTATCATATTCCTGTCTGGGTCTTCTGTCATTTGGTGGTGGATTATATATGACTACTACTATAATTTTTTGTCCTCCAGTTGCAATAGTGCCTGTTATGTAGTCACCCACACTTGTGTGTGTGTGTGTGTGTGTGTGTGTGTGTGTGTGTGTGTACTCACCTAATTGTGCTTGCGGGGGTTGAGCTCTGGCTCTTTGGTCCCGCCTCTCAACCGTCAATCAACTGGTGTACAGATTCCTGAGCCTATTGGGCTCTATCATATCTACATTTGAAACTGTGAATGGAGTCAGCCTCCACCACATCACTTCCTAATGCATTCCATTTGCTAACTACTCTGACACTGAAAAAGTTCTTTCTAACGTCTCTGTGGCTCATTTGGGTACTCAGCTTCCACCTGTGTCCCCTTGTTCGCGTCCCACCAGTGTTGAAAAGTTCGTCCTTGTTTACCCGGTTGATTCCCCTGAGGATTTTGTAGGTTGTGATCATGTCCCCCCTTACTCTTCTGTCTTCCAGTGTCGTGAGGTGCATTTCCCGCAGCCTTTCCTCATAACTCATGCCTCTTAGTTCTGGGACTAGTCTAGTAGCATACCTTTGGACTTTTTCCAGCTTCGTCTTGTGCTTGACAAGGTACGGGCTCCATGCTGGGGCCGCATACTCCAGGATTGGTCTTACATATGTGGTGTACAAGATTCTGAATGATTCCTTACACAGGTTCCTGAACGCCGTTCTGATGTTAGCCAGCCTCGCATATGCCGCAGACGTTATTCTCTTTATGTGGGCTTCAGGAGACAGGTTTGGTGTGATATCAACTCCTAGATCTTTCTCTCTGTCTGTTTCATTAAGTACTTCATCTCCTATTCTGTATCCTGTGCCTGGCCTCCTGTTTCCACTGCCTAGTTTCATTACTTTGCATTTACTCGGGTTGAACTTCAACAGCCATTTGTTGGACCATTCACTCAGTCTATCCAGGTCATCTTGTAGCCTCCTACTATCATCCTCTGTTTCAATCCTCCTCATAATTTTTGCATCGTCGGCAAACATTGAGAGGAACGAATCTATACCCTCTGGGAGATCATTTACATATACCAGAAACAGTATAGGTCCGAGGACTGACCCCTGCGGGACTCCACTTGTGACGTCTCGCCAATCTGAGACTTCACCCCTCACACAGACTCGTTGTCTCCTGTTGCTTAGGTATTCCTCTATCCACCGGAGTACCTTCCCTCTCACTCCAGCCTGCATCTCCAACTTTCGCACTAGCCTCTTGTGTGGCACTGTATCAAAGGCTTTCTGACAATCCAAAAATATGCAGTCTGCCCACCCTTCTCTTTCTTGCCTTATTTTTGTTGCCTGGTCGTAGAATTCAAGTAACCCTGTGAGGCAGGACCTGCCATCCCTAGACCCATGTTGATGCTGTGTTACAAAGTTCCTTCGCTCCAGATGCTCCACTAGTTTTTTTCGCACAATCTTCTCCATCAGCTTGCATGGTATGCAGGTTAGGGACACTGGCCTGTAGTTCAGTGCCTCCTGTCTATCCCCTTTCTTGTATATCGGGACTACGTTAGCTGCTTTCCAAATATCTGGCAGTTCCCCTGTTGCCAGTGATTTGTTATACACTATGGAGAGTGGTAGGCTCAGTTCTCTTGCTCCTTCCTTTAGAACCCAAGGGGAGATTCCATCTGGGCCTATAGCCTTCGTCACGTCCAACTCTAGTAAACACTTCCTTACTTCCCCACTGGTAATCTCAAACTCTTCCAGTGGTTCCTGGTTAGCTATTCCCTCACTTACCTCTGGAATTTCTCCTTGTTCTAAGGTGAAGACCTCCTGGAATTTCTTATTCAATTCCTCACACACTTCCTTGTCATTTGTAGTGAATCCTTCCGCCCCTATCCTTAATCTCATAACCTGTTCCTTTACTGTTGTTTTTCTCCTAATGTGGCTATGCAACAATTTAGGCTGAGTCTTTGCCTTGCTTGCGATGTCATTTTCGTATTGTCTTTCTGCCTCTCTTCTCATCCTGACATATTCATGTGCGTGTGTGCGTGTGTGTGTGTGCGTGTGTGTGTGCGTGCGTGCGTGCGCGTGTGTGCGTGTGTGTGCGTGTGCGTGTGTGTGCGTGGCCAAGCTAAGGTCTGCCATGGCCCACAGTACGCGTCGTGGGACCTGGCCTTCCACACCGTGGCCCTGGCGCTGGTCGACCCCCACATGGCCAAGGATCAGCTGCTGCTCTTCCTCCGGGAGTGGTACATGCACCCCAACGGTCAGATACCAGGTGGGTCACCCCTCCACCAGGTGGGCCACCCCTCCACCAGGTGGGTCACCCCTCCACCAGGTGGGCCACCCCTCCACCAGGTGGGCCACCCCTCCACCAGGTGGGTCACCCCTCCACCAGGTGGGCCACCCCTCCACCAGGTGGGTAATTTACAAACTAGATATTATATTCAATAAGATAAACTAATATGATAAATTTATGATAATTGTTGTAGCAATTAATTATTTAATGAATTATATTGAAGAATTATATCTGGATGATGTTTATCTATATAAATAAAAATGGAAATGTTCGTTTGTTCAAAATTGCTAATATACGAAAGTTCTTCATCGATTGCTTTAACATTTTCACACAACGTTCAATTAGCATCTGAGCAGGTTTTTATATACATACTATATAGCTGTCACGTATGTGACGGGGAGTTTTTTTTTAACTGTTTTTCATGTCTTTTTTATGTGAAGGAAGTCTTCGAAGCCTCCTGCTTTTGGGATTGCTTTGAAATTTTGACAGAACGTTGCATTCAAATAGGCATGTGTTTTTATATACCTACTATGTACAAGCCTCACCTGTGACATGAAAAAACATGTTTTTTTGTGTAACTGGGCCATCTGTTGGGCGTAAGAGCAACACATGTGGTAATCTCCGAAAGTTCCTCACCGATTGCTTTGAAATTTTGACACAAAGTTCCAATCGCATACGCGTGTGTTTTTATATACCTACTATATCGATGACACATATGACTGGTAAAAAACATGCTATTTTTTTAAAAACAGTGCCATCTGTTGCACGTAGTAGCAACACACGCTATACTAATTATGTTACGATTCCATTTCAATGTTTCCGATTACATTGATAAATTGAATTTTCATAGATTTCGATTTATTTTCATTTTGATTTAAATGTTTTGTATGACATTGCATTGGAATTGAGCTGTGGTGTTAACGATATCGTTCATTTCGTGTGTATAGTTTATTTTTTATTATTCCAATGTTTTCCATTTCGTTTTTTAACTGTGTTTCTTGTATATCAGTGACGGGAACATCAGATCATATGATGTTCCCGATTTTCTCTGATAGGGACATAAGATCATTTGGGAAGGCATCGGACGAGGGAGTGGGGAATGGTGGGGAGGACGAGGCAACGGGGGAGTGGAAGTTGGTGGGGAGGACGAGGCAACGGGGGAGTGGGAGTTGGTGGGGAGGACGAGGCAACGGGGGAGTGGGAGTTGGTGGGGAGGACGAGGGGATGGTGGGGACGAGGGGAATGGAGAATTATGGGGAGGACAAGGGGACGGTGGAGTGGGGAATAGTGGGGAGGAGGGGACAGGGAAATGGAGATTTTTGGGGAGGACAAAGTGACAGGGGAGATGGGGATGGTAGGGGAGGACGAGAGGACGGGTAGGGGGGGGGAGGTAGAGAGGACGAGGCAACGGGGGAGTGGGAGTTGGTGGGGAGGACTGGGAGACAGGGAAGGTTGCTGTGGCTCAGCAACACACATGCGTTGCTGAGCCACAGCAACGCATGGCCGGGTACAGCTAGTGTGTGTGTGAGTGTGTGTGTGAGTGTGTGTGTGTGTGTGTGTGTGTGTGTGTGTGTGTTTAGTGTGTGAGTGTGTGAGTGTGTGTGTGTGTGTGTGTGTGTGTGTGTGTGTGAGTGTGTGTGTGTGTGTGTGTGTGTGTGTGAGTGAGTGTGTGTGTGTACTCACCTAATTGTACTCACCTAATTGTGCTTGCGGGGGTTGAGCTCTGGCTCTTTGGTCCCGCCTCTCAACCGTCAATCAACTGGTGTACAGATTCCTGAGCCTATTGGGCTCTATCATATCTACATTTGAAACTGTGTATGGAGTCAGCCTCCACCACATCACTTCCTAATGCATTCCATTTACTAACTACTCTAACACCGAAAAAGTTCTTTCTAACGTCTCTGTGGCTCATTTGGGTACTCAGCTTCCACCTGTGTCCCCTTGTTCGCGTCCCACCAGTGTTGAATAGTTTATCTTGTTTACCCGGTCGATTCCCCTGAGGATTTTGTAGGTTGTGATCATGTCCCCCCTTACTCTTCTGTCTTCCAGTGTCGTAAGGTGCATTTCCCGCAGCCTTTCCTCATAACTCATGCCTCTTAGTTCTGGGACTAGTCTAGTAGCATACCTTTGGACTTTTTCCAGCTTCGTCTTGTGCTTGACAAGGTACGGGCTCCATGCTGGGGCCGCATACTCCAGGATTGGTCTTACATATGTGGTGTACAAGATTCTGAATGATTCCTTACACAGGTTCCTGAACGCCGTTCTGATGTTAGCCAGCCTCGCATATGCCGCAGACGTTATTCTCTTTATGTGGGCTTCAGGAGACAGGTTTGGTGTGATATCAACTCCTAGATCTTTCTCTCTGTCTGTTTCATTAAGTACTTCATCTCCTATTCTGTATCCTGTGCCTGGCCTCCTGTTTCCACTGCCTAGTTTCATTACTTTGCATTTACTCGGGTTGAACTTCAACAGCCATTTGTTGGACCATTCACTCAGTCTATCCAGGTCATCTTGTAGCCTCCTACTATCATCCTCTGTTTCAATCCTCCTCATAATTTTTGCATCGTCGGCAAACATTGAGAGGAACGAATCTATACCCTCTGGGAGATCATTTACATATACCAGAAACAGTATAGGTCCAAGGACTGACCCCTGCGGGACTCCACTTGTAACGTCTCGCCAATCTGAGACCTCACCCCTCACACAGACTCGTTGTCTCCTGTTGCTTAGGTACTCCTCTATCCACCGGAGTACCTTCCCTCTCACTCCAGCCTGCATCTCCAACTTTCGCACTAGCCTCTTGTGTGGCACTGTATCAAAGGCTTTCTGACAATCCAAAAATATGCAGTCTGCCCACCCTTCTCTTTCTTGCCTTATTTTTGTTGCCTGGTCGTAGAATTCAAGTAACCCTGTGAGGCAGGACCTGCCATCCCTGAACCCATGTTGATGCTGTGTTACAAAGTTCCTTCGCTCCAGATGCTCCACTAGTTTTTTTCGCACAATCTTCTCCATCAGCTTGCATTGTATGCAGGTTAGGGACACTGGCCTGTAGTTCAGTGCCTCCTGTCTATCCCCTTTCTTGTATATCGGGACTACGTTAGCTGCTTTCCAAATATCTGGCAGTTTCCCTGTTGCCAGTGATTTGTTATACACTATGGAGAGTGGTAGGCTCAGTTCTCTTGCTCCTTCCTTTAGAACCCAAGGGGAGATTCCATCTGGGCCTATAGCCTTCGTCACGTCCAACTCTAGTAAACACTTCCTTACTTCCCCACTGGTAATCTCAAACTCTTCCAGTGGTTTCTGGTTAGCTATTCCCTCACTTACCTCTGGAATTTCTCCTTGCTCTAAGGTGAAGACCTCCTGGAATTTCTTATTCAATTCCTCACACACTTCCTTGTCATTTGTAGTGAATCCTTCCGCCCCTATCCTTAATCTCATAACCTGTTCCTTTACTGTTGTTTTTCTCCTAATGTGGCTATGCAACAATTTAGGCTGAGTCTTTGCCTTGCTTGCGATGTCATTTTCGTATTGTCTTTCTGCCTCTCTTCTCATCCTGACATATTCATTCCCGGCATTCTGGTATCTTTCTCTGCTCTCCAGGGTCCTGTTATTCCTATAGTTTCTCCATGCCCTTTTACTTTGCTGCTTAGCTAGCCTACATCTTTGATTAAACCATGGGTTTCTCAGTTGCTCAGTAGTGTAAAGTACGCCTACGACCGTGCGCAGCACCTGAGCAGGTGAGCTCATCCCCCTCCCCGCTCAGCTCGTTGTCGCCGTGTGGGGGCTTAGTGGGCGGCTGCCGGAGTGTGATGCTCCTTGGGACGGTCCTCTGTCCTTTTCTAGCCTTGTGCTCCTGCTGCCGTCCTCTCCAATTCTGCTGGGCATCTTTTCCTTTTCCTTCTGTTTCGTTTTTCTCCCCCCTCTTCTCCTATCTGCTTGCCGTTTCCTACCGACCTTTTGCTCGTTCTGGTTCTTCCCTTGGACTTCTTCTATTTTGACGCCCGGGTGCTTGAGGAGGCATACTCATGCACCCGTAGAACTGCAGTACCCGACGTCGAGAGCGAGGGGAACCTTTTATTGTCAATCCCCACTTCGTCACTGAACCCGATCTCGACGGACTGTCGGTTTCTTAAGGTGGCGTTTGTGGGGCGTATACTCGCGACGCACCCCTAGGAGGCCCCGACAAGATCGGCGATAGCTTCTTGTTGGGTGTCCTGCCTCTAATTGTGGCTCCATGGTGGGTGTGGGGGCACATTCGTGAGTGAATTCTTTCTTTCGTCAAGATGATTACCCCTGCTTCGGCTTCTTCTGGTTTACCTTCTCAGGCTCGTGGGGTGGGCGACCAAGCCCCCGAGTCGGTCCGTATTGGAAGACCGGGCTCTGTAGCCTCCGCTGCATTGGGCCCCGACCTTGCTCCTCCTTTGGCCTCTCTGACTCCTTCCTCTGGCTCCCCTCCCTCCTCTGTGGTTGGGTCGAGCCCCAAGCCCCCAGTGGTGACTACCTCGTCCCCTGGCGTGGCTCCTTCTCTAGTTGTAACTACTGCGCCTTTTAACCCCTCTCTCTCTGGGGGTTCTCACCGCCGTCTTCGTCACGGCCGCCCTCGCTCGATTCCTTCCAGTTCTGCTACCTATCAAGCCTTGTTTGGTCCCGCTTCGTGGGCCAAATATTTTGATCTCCTCCCTCTTGATTCTGCGCCTCCTGACGATTTCTCCCTCCATCGACATCTCATTGATTCCGTGGATGCCTCCATTACTTTCAACCCCACTCGTCTCGGTACACGTGTCGTTGCTGCTCCTTCTCAGGATGCTGCTTCCCGCTTGGCTGCCTTATCCTGCCTTGGCGAGACCCCCGTTCGGGTCTCGAAGAACGTTCAGTTGAATGCCAGTGTTGGCACTATTTTGCTCCCGCCCCATGTTGCGACCGGTGTTCGGGACCTACGCGACTGCCACGACGATATTCGACATATCCTCGCTGCCCAG